ACCACACCCCCATATCAACATATTCTCTATGAAAAATCCTTACATTTAACTCCCCACTTTTCCTGCTAAATAGGGGTAGAATGGTCAAATTGCCCTTAAGGAAGAAAATATCTAAAACTTAACAAACATTTTGGTTGACCTGTCGCCGCGGCGAAGAAGCTTCTGTCGCCGCGGCGAAACTGTCCAGAGAGTTTCCCCGTGGTTTCAACACCTCTTTGCCCCGGCGAAGATTGGCACACTGAACTTCTTCTATTTTCAACCAATTTCAGGGCAAGCATTCAACACAACACTCAATCAAACAATAGTACCAAGAAACCAACTCAAATAAGAGCAAAAGAAGAAACAACAACTATGTACCTCAAGTGGGGCGTTACATCACTAGACAGACCCACCAGAGGATTCCATATGGATGGTAACTCCAGTGTCTATGGAATAAATCCTCTAACAGATGGTGGTGCATGTAATCCTTAAACTTTTGATCACCGAAGCACCTTGTGCACCAATTAGTGTAATTTGACACTAGCCCAACTTAGTTCTATTTAGAGCTATCAATACGGTAGTGATTAGCTACATTGAGAAGTGTATCGAGACTATGATGAATCAACAAAGGATTCATCACTCCTGGGTACGGGAGAAGTTATCTTACTAGGTAATTCAATAAATGGCAATGACACTAAATCTGTGGCCACAAACAACTCAATCCAATTTGATATTCTTTTCATTGGTCCAATAATTGAATACAAACATGTCAAGGATATCTGAGGTTGACACTATTTTTGTACCTTAGTCTCGATGAGATAACAGTTGATGAAAGGATTTGATTGCACGATAACCATACCGTTGACAGGCTGCGGTTTCGCTGAATCCAAATCTATCGGGTGGTCATGATGTTTTACTAAGGGTCAATCTTGGTCTGTGTGTAGTGAAACGATTAATTAGTGTTAATCGCAATACTACACAATGCCGATATGATGAAGAGCCTATGAGTCACACACTTAGAAGATAATTTAAGAATCATTTTGTGAGAAAGGTATTTTCATCTTTCAGGACGAAAGGGTATTTTGGTAATCTCGTAGTGCAATTAAATTTGTTGAGGTTGTTACCAGTATTTAATTTGATATTAAAATTAAATACATGAGATTATATTTAAATATATGTATGCATATATTTAAATGAATTGTTATTATTAATTAACTATTATTATTGTTATTATTATTATTATTATTATTATATATATATTAATTGATTTTAATTATAATAATAATTAATTAATTTAAAATACCAATTACATGGTGTTTGGTTGCAAGGGTAAGCTTGGGTTGGTGCTCATGGGTATTCCTTATTGGAATAGGGTTTTAATTAGTTGCATCATATAAGTGCAACTTAATTAAAACACAAATAATATACTTTTATAAAACAAAACCCTAGCCACCTTATCTCTCCCTCTCTCTCACGTTTTCACCTTTGAGTGAAAAGAAAAAAAATTATTTTCCCTTTGATTGTTCTTGATTCTTGAAGTTGGCAATTGTTCTAACAAAACAATTATCGGTTCTTCAGATTATCTTCGTGTGGATTTCCGTGAGTGCGATCCTACATTGGATCGATTAGTGAACAATGTCGGTGAACAGTATCTGGTGAACAGTTTTGGTGAATAGTAGCCAGTGAACAATGTTCGTAAGCGATGTCAGAGATATTCGGAGGAGCCTCCAAACGTCGGTATGAACTAAATCCTTGTATGGATTTGCTTTAAACAGATTTTATTTTACGTTTTAGTTTATACATGAAAAACGTTATAATTTATACTCAGATCTTGGTTCGAGTAAGTGATCTTTTCGTTTTTAATATTACGTTGTTCCACTGCGTGAACCTGATCACTTACAACCATATCGTTGACAGGTAGCTATTTTGCTAAATCCGATGGTAGCCATGATGTCTTGCTAAGGTTCAATCTTGGTCTATGTGTAGTGAGACAATTTATTAGAGTCAATTGCGGTATTACTCACTGCTGATATGATAAGAAGCCTATTGGTCATGCACTAAGGAAACAGTTAAAGGATGGTTAACTATAAAAGGGTATTTTCATCCTTTTGGTGAAAGGGCAAATTGGTAATTTTGTGTATAATTTAATTTACTGAGGTTGTAATCTGTGTCCAATTTTATTAGAATAATCTAGCAAAATTATGGATTTAATTATTGAAGTTAATATTAATATTTAACTAAATAATTAAATAGGGACCTATGTGCGATTCTACCTAGTTGGTTGTTGCTAAACTTTAGGGGTGGAATTGATATTTACCTTTTCTATATAAAGAAAAGGTTGAATAGGTTTTAATTCATTTTTGTTTCAACTGTGAGAGTTAAGAGTTTCGAGAGAAATATTTTCTCTCTCCATCTCTTTTCACTCTTTCTTCCAAACTTTGGATCCTTAATGCCAAGGATTGGTTCTAGTAAAGCCAATCTCTGGTCTCTATTGTACTATCTTTATGTAGACAACGTGAGTTCGATCCTACACTTGGATCGGTAGCGAGATCATGTCCAGAGATATTGACGAAGCCTCCAAACACTGGTATGATCTGATCCTTGTTTGGTTTTGCGTTATTTCAATTTAAGCGTGTAAAATATATACATATCAAACCTTGATCATGGGTCTATCAGAGTAATCGATGGGAAAATTTTTGTTTTCCGCTGCGTTTACCCCATCGATTTACTTGCAAAACAAAGTAAAGAAAAGAAATTCACTTAATTTGATAAAAGACCCAGAGATCATTCTTACCTATGGCAATCTAAAATAGAATTAAAAGGAGAATGAAAGCATTCTTTAAATAAAAAGGGAAATATTGATTTATATTCTAATTGACTTCAGTCTTGTAAAATGGAAAGTAATTATTATGTAGATGGATCTATGAAGAAGTTGAAGGCAGAAAATGAGGCACATTGTTGTGTATGTCAATGTTTTAAAACCCAACCTAGGATGAAACCCGGCAAAGTTTTCGGGTCCCGGGTTGACAAAAATTTTTAAAACTCAACAAATACACCCCTAAAAATTACCTACAAGTCTTTACATGTTTGAACTTTATCAAACACACCCCAAATGAAAATCGACCAGCGACTGATTGACAACGGTGACACCCCAGATGCAACCCCAATCGTCCCCTGAGCCCATTTCCATTAAAATCTACCCAAGATTTAGACGAAATAGGTTCGATTTCAGCCAGATCTCACCGACGCCGGCGTGGGTATTCTAGGCCAGATCTCATCCATGCCGGCGCCGACAAACCTCCCCATCACCCAGGAATTACTATCCCCTGTTCCTCCCGACCAAAACCCACCTTACCCCACCCCCGTTAGCCTCGCCAATCGCCAGAAAAATCACATTGTTGCCGCTGCCAGGTTTGTTCGATTTCCGATCGATTTACTCACCGGAAATCAACGTTGTCACTACCATTGCATTCCCCGAAACTTAGTCTTCAAAAGCCCTAACCTTCTGGCCGTCGATTGGTCGCCGATCATCCTCCTAAATCTTAGGATTTTGGGGTGAATCAAAAAAGTTAAACCCGACCTATTGAAGCTTCCAGGTCCCGTTAAACCGGTTCAACCGACCGGGCCGGGTTTTAAAACAATGGTGTATGTGTTTATTTTCTATAGCTTAAAATATTATTAAGAAAAAATAAAAATGTACAGAGAGACCAAGTAGCAGTTTACATATCACACATAGCGGATTGCCATAAACTTACAGTTCAATAAAAGTAATCAAAACATGTGATTCTAAGCAGTTGTTGGGTTATTTTATGAAATTAATCTGAAAAATAGAAACAAGAAGGTGAAAGTCGTATTTTCAAATTTTGAGAATGTGTAGACAGTTTAGTATCATTCTCAAAAGATAATATTATGAGAAGAGTAATGTTATGTACACTAACCAAATTGTACTAATCCAAGTACTAACAATTGAATTTTTGAATTTTTTTTTTAATTTTTGGGGAGAACTGGCGTGACAATAAAGAGGTATGCCATGTCAGTTAGTACTTGGGTTGTATGGTTTTTGGTTAGTGCACATAACATTATTCTTATGAAAATGAAAATAGTGCAAATGTGTTCAATAAAGTTCTTTGGAAGGAAAAAAAAATATGTTTTCGATATATTATTACTAGAAAAACTTATTAAATTATCTAATAGTTATTAAAAAAAAAAATTAAACGTATTAATAAGAATTCAAAAGCTTGAAAATGCATTATGGTTTTTCACAAAAGAATGATGAAAATGGTGAAACAAGATAAGTGTTTTGTCATTTCCGTTACAAAAGTTAGAAAACGATTTGCGTTTTATGAAATATTTTCCTAAAATTTGTTAATCAACACATTGTTTCCATGTTCTAGATTTTGAAAATGAGAAATCATTTCCGTAAAAGGTGACCAAATACCCCAAAACCTTTCAAACACAGAGAACAGTAGAAAATGTTTTTGAGAGTTAATTTGGTCATGGTAAACAAAGTAGACGTGATATATTACTTGTTATGTTCAGTTTTACATCTATACACTAAACCAACATTAGATCGCCAGCCAGACTTTACCAAAGATCATTTAAATTATTTTGGCTCCGTTTGGTTCATTATTCTGACAGTTTTTAGAATAATCTTTCGAAAAAAGTTAAATTGGACAGGTATTACGATGTAGGATTTAGAAATTAACAAAAATATCCCTTATGTTTGTTTATTTACTAAACACCCCTATAATAAAATATTAGAAATTAACAAAAACACCCTCAACCCACCCATTAAATACGGACAGCTGGCCACCACCGCCGGAGGGTGGCCGGAGTGTTTTTACAATTTCTAAAAAAAATATTTAGGGGTGTTTAGTTAAATTAACAAATTTAAAATGTTTAAAAGAAATTAAAAAATATAATATAATATAATATTTTGGGAATAATGACATTTTACTGTTTAACTTTTTTAAGAATACTAATAATAGTATTCCTAAAAGTGAACCAAACGAAACCTTTGATATTGATATTAATATAAAGTTTCTGGTGGAAAATCAAGAGATTAAAAAAATTTAAGAAAAAAAAAAAGAGGATTACTGTACCTGAAGAAATTGATTTAAAGTAATCAATACATATTGCATTGACAATTCATCAGGCTTAATAAAATTTAGTGCCTTTGACATGGCAATAAACACCTTTGTCGTCACATGCTCAAGTACTCCCTGAAGTTTAAAAGACAAAACAATTAGTCAATCATTCAGCTTGAAATAACTGCAAAGTTTATGCAAAATTCATGAGCACAAAGCATTCTGAAAAATTAACTTTGACGATAGGGAATACAAAACTCAACTCGAGCTAATATACATGTTAACCTGCTAAATTTGCAGTTTGTACTAGCATTCAATAAATTTAACATGAACGATAGATAATAACCAACTCAACTCAGAAGCTGATTTATATATAAACCTGGGTTGGACTGGTTATAAAAGTACTAGTGAATTAATTCCCAAACATTAAGAAAAAATAAAGAAGTGACCCAAAAACAATATTTGTGTTCAAACTTAAAACACATTCCTCATGGCTTTAATCTACAGTACGAGGTAAAACATCTAGGTCAAATAGATACTAATACCCTGTTGTAGACTCAAAAAAATCCCAAAAGTCTAAATTTAATAGGTTGGGCACCGAACAATATAAATAAAGTTTTAACAACTTTCAAAAGTAAACACAATCAATAAAGCTTTCTATGGGAAAATTATTCCATGAATTTAGACTATACTTTGGAGTACTTTTTTTTTTCCTTTTTTATAGAAACACCAATATACTGAAAAATAGAACAAAGATATAGAGGTGGACTAGATGTCCACTGCAAGAGAGTTAGATCTTCACAATAACACAAAATCTTGTGTAAACTGTACAATATAAACACCAAAAAGAGAGAGAATTCAACAGCCCACAAAGACAAAATTTTGGAGGTACTTCAATTTTTTTACTTGACTCTTCCAAGAATAAAGTTTTCCCAATTTCTGTCAGTTTCTAGTATTCTGGAAGTTTGTGCAGCTTCTTTTAGACAGCTGAAATTTGAGGCTTGCATCAACACTTAAGAGTGACTTCACTAACACTAGTACACAAGCCTCAACCAACAACACCTAGGATCTCTTTGTCGGTAAGATATATTCTTCTTTGGTCAAAGACAAAGCAATGCTCAAGTTTGTAGATACAGTCACAGACACATTGTCCACACATACACATTTATGTCGTATTTGGTCAGCTGCTCAAAAAGTGAAGTATGAAGACCATGGCTACAAACTAATGTTAATTATCTTGCAATTTCACAAGCAAAGAATGATAATATTTTTGAGTGCCTACAATTCTTCATATGCACCTGCTTTATCATCCACTCCTTAACAGCTAAACCATCTTGGGCTTCAACATTAGCTTGTCCACCAAGAATTGCAGGAAGGAGTCCAATCGCAAACTTGACTTTCTCAGGCCAAGTCAACATTCCATTATTCCTAAAAAATCGCCCATATTCCTTACAGTTACATTCAAAATGTAGAGTCAAAATGAATAAGCATTGAATATGTAGCATAAGTGAAGAAATTTCATCTAAAAAAACAAAGAGATAATATGTAAACTCTAGAAAAATATACTACAAAAATTGTGGAAATTTGAAGAAATTTAAATAAAAAAAAAAAAAAATTATAAATGACATTAACAACCAAAAGTTAGCATTGAAGTTTTACAACTACAAAGATAAGTGATGAACCCTTCAATTCAGCATTCTTCTTTCTCTTATTCATGAGATTTGGTAGGCTTTATTGCGCAGATTATTCTTCATTTCCTTGTTTAATGAGAAGGTTTAACTTGTAAATCTCTGTTCATAAGTTAAACTTCTAGTTATCCTTTACTAATAACATTTTAATGAATTAGTAACATGTTTTGTTTCTTATAATACATATATTGATTACGGGGCCACTATGTCATAGAGATGGTAGGAAGAATTGAACTTGTGTTCAAATATTTATCAGGTAATAACTACATAAACCAACAAGCCAATTTACTCTTTGTTTCCAACCTTGGTTCTTCAACATGCATTTCCAGATCTATGTAAAAAGCACATACTTTTTTTTTTTTTTTTTTTTGAAGAAGAAGAAGCAGAACAGAACTTCAATTAAAAATGGTCGACGGGTTTCCTTTTTTTCTTTAGTGGTGGGTACAAGAATCTAACCATTTACAGGAGCTGGCAGAACTTCAGAAAAATCAAATCAGTTGAATTCTCCTGGCTTGTTTAGTATTGCAAATATCATTGAGTGCTCCTTCCACTGCAATCGATCATCAATACCAAATTCTCCGAACAGGTTCTGTATATTTGGGTAAGCCCCAACTTGCCAGCAAGAAAAGAAAATATTTATCAATTAAAAGGAAATGCATAAGATTAGCCCTACTTTAACAAAGGAAAAGACAAAAAGGTGACTTCGTCAAATTTTGTTATTGCAACATTGAAAAAACTGCGTAAGGTAAAAGATACCTACTAGATCATCACTATGAAGTGAAAGTGCATCAGAACTTATTAAGACATTCATAACATCAAAAGAACAATCAATAGAAGACAATAATGAAGTTGTTGAGTCAAACATCAAAGACATTAGCAAACAAGAATTAGTTTCTAAACTTACATAATTTATCCGAGTAAAAAATGCAGTAGAACTTAGGAATGATGGTTAATAGAAAATAATGTTGTAGCATCACGAACTAAAATGATAATACAAAAAAATAATAATTAAAAGTAATATAAAAGAAAATATATGCAGGCCTGTCTCATACCAGTCCCCATCATCATCTTTACAGGCAGCTACCTATAAGGAAAAAGACCAAAGTTTAATGTTGAGTGACAAAGAAATTGAAAAGATAAAACCCTGCATTACATATGGATATCATGATAAAAACAAAAATTATCATGCAATTGTGTCCATCCTTGCTCCTAGAAACAGAAAAGTAATCATGCCACAATATCAACCAGAATGGAAAACTTCTTCCAGATTATCATCCATATGAAAATCGCCTATTGTTCAATGATGCTGAAAAATGACCTCTCTTCTAATCACTAACTAGCAAGCTTTTTTAAGTATCTAGAAGTTAACAAAAGACTTAAGAAATCCACAGAAAACATACATATATATCTTTAGTTTGGTGTCAACTAATTGGAAAGTGGAACAGAGTTAAATAATTTCAACATAGAACTCCAAATAGCTTAGTATCATGCCAACAACTTTTTGCAGTACCACAAATATTCTGCAAATTGCAAGTCGTAGAGAGTTTATTTGCCACAGAATTCATATCAGAATGTTTTTGCATCCTCATCACAAATAAGTCATGACATAGACAGGTACCATTATTAAAAGTATTACTGGAGAACTTAACTTTTCTCAAACAAATATTATTATTTCATCAATGTTGTAATGACCACCTGCTATTGTGGCATGGCAGAGAATGACAAAATGTGCCTTCAGGTCCTCAAAATAACAAAGAAACTTGTGATCCTCAATTGGGGTGTCAACATATGTCCTAAACGTTTAACTCTTATGACAAGACCCAAAACACACAATGTCCCACACTCAAGCAGCTTGAACACGTTAAGATGTGAACAAGGTAAATATGTACCTATAAATCATGACAAACAAATATTTTAACAGCCACAAATAAATAGAATAGACAAACAATGTTGAAAATCTAAAAACAGTACAGTTCACATGATTCCAACAGATTTATATGACAAATAAACCAAATTAGTAGTGACCTCTTTAAATGATTGCTGCCTAAAATTGTGTAATCTTATCACCAAATTGAGAAATTACCATTTTGGATCTTGAACTTAATAAAGATACACAATAATAGCCAGTATGTGTTACAGTAAAGGTCTTAGGTCATAAAATTTTCTTAAAAAGGAACAAGTAATTTGTGAAATTTATCATTCTACACCAAATCTTGTACTTCAATCATGCATACTGAGTAGGATTCATTTTCATATTATTTTTAATGAATGAGAAAGAAAATTATGTCAGTCAAAACCTTGCAATTGAGACAAGACTTGCTCGACTTCTACCGTTTGATCATTAACAATTTTCAATGCCATTTCATGATTCCTAATATGCAAACCATATTTGCAAATTTCACTCTCAAGTTCCTGCAACAAAAGCAGTCCAAACAACAAAACAACATTTGGCACATGACAACAACTCAGCGAAGTAGTAATTTTGAACACTAATGGGGACAATGAAACACAAAAACAGTAGGAAAAGTTCTTTTACATGAATGAAAGATGGAAAAATTCAAGTCTTCTTTGACCAAGGCATTAAAAACAAGTGAAAAGAATCTCTAGCCAGAACAACTAAATCAAAGGCAACGAAGCACCTATTCAAGCATCAAAAATGTATTTGCATAATAGAAACATGTACATTAGAAAAAATTCATCATCAAAAAGCATTTACAAATTAGAACCATATTCTTAATTACATGCTGAAGTTCCTCCAACAAAAGCAGTCCAAACAACAAAGCTCGGACTAAAACCAACTATCAATTAGTAGGCAGCATCACCAGATTAGGCACATGACAACAACTCAGCTGGGGACACTAAAACTCAAAACAGTAGGAAAAGTTCTTTCTGAAATTTGGAAAATTCAAGTCTTCTTTGACCGAGGCATTGAGAACAAGTAAAAAGAATCTCTACCTGGAACATATAAATCAAAGACGATGAAGCATTTATTCTAGCATAAAAAATGCATTTACATCTTAGAAATAATGTAGAGATGGAATTTGACACAATACCTTCTCAGTCTTTATGATGGATACCACAAGGTTTCCTACAAGTTTGAGGGGAGTTGAGCCCTCAAGAAGTTATAACTTTCCATCAGAATATGAGGGTATCTCACTGGACTCCGTTTTTGGACTTTGCAAAAGAGGAACCTACACATGCAAACCAATAGTTAAAAATGTAGTATTCATGACTGAAAAATGATCATCATAAAGTGTTAATACTAAAGCTAAGCTCTTAAGATATAGACACCCAATAGTGGACACAACAATCATTCAATTAAAGAAGTTTGCTAAGTGTTTTTGGTGGATTTGAGGACTCTTACAATGTCCCGATTACTTTAGTTTTTATTTTCTAACCCATTCATAAATAGATAAGTATTTAATCACTAATATAAAATTTGTTGCAACCTTGATGCTTAGATGTAGCTCTGTGTAACGAGAATGCACAGTTACAAAGCAAAAGCATCCCTCACACTGAGGAAGGGAAATAGCAGGAATAGTGCAGTGCCCATGCCTGAAAGCATACCAAACTGAATCTTCTGTGCCAATAGATTTTTACCTTATCGTGAGTGTATGGGATTCGTCACCTTCCTCATTATCATGGATACCTGCATCAGCATCACCATTGCAATCAACAACCTCAAAAACTATATTTTCAAGTTGAGAACCAATAGGACAACATTCAAGCACCTAATTCTATACACAATTAGTAAAAATGACATTTACTTCCAATAATTATGCAAAGGGATGGCAAATGTAAAGCACACTAACCTCAGATACAATTCTCAGTTCCATTTTCTGAGTTCAAAACTCTTGATTGAAAATGACTTCATTATCAGATAAAATAGAAATTGATACTGCAAGGCAAGAAATGTTAGAATGCAATCACCGGACAAACCTAAATCCATTGATACAATTAACGATTGTAACATTTAACTTTTCATGATCAGACAAATTATCCACAAGAAGCAAAATCTAAAGATTGTTCCTAGAGATGGTTAAATTAAAAAGTCAGATGTTTTTCCTTTTTAGCTAGACAAATAAAACCAAAAGCTACAAAGTAATGAGTGACTAAGAATTTTCCATCAACCAATGTCTACATCCTTGAAATTACAGTACACAACTAAAATATGAGATAACCAATACTAGATAGCACTAAGCTTTTAATATGTTACTGTTTCACTGGACTAATATTAGGCTTTAGTAATAAAAGAATATCATTTTCTCTTTTGTCCTTGCAAGTAAATATCCAAAACAAAAAAATACAGTCAGATAAAGACACATACCACTTTTTCCATAACCACCCATTACTTTCAAGAGGCCACTAAGGTCAAAACATCCATAATCGTCCACCTATGTTTACAAACTTTTTCAGGACATTCAGATCAATTAGCAGACAAAAATGGTAAACTCCAAATGCAATAGAACCTCAAAGCACAATTATAGTATTAGCTTATCATGCATAAGATGTCAGATAAACAATAAGAACAGGCTGATGCACATCATATTGTTGTATAAGGGAAAAAGAATTTGATTAACTCTTTGAACTTTTGAACATTACTAATTTAGACATACATACTTTTAGATGGGCCTTTAGGGTGTCTTTGTTACATTATATTGCACAGGATTAAAACTTTAATATTACATGGCCCAGTGCTTGGCCAAGTTATAGGCTCATTGCGAACTTAATTAGCCCACAATACAATCCCAAATGCACTAATGTGAATGGGAAGTGGGAGTTGGGACATACTGTATTAGAAAAATTATAACTCCCAACTGTATTAGCAATCATTAAAGAACCGATGTGTAGGAGATGAATCAATTATCTATCAAAAATACAATCCTAATATAGGAAATATTCTGACCTTACACTTTATGCCCAATTGGTCATCAAATCGAAATCCATCCAAGTTCAATTCAACTTCCAAACCTTTGTTGACGTGATTACTATGTGCATCAAACATCTGGAATAAATGAATGGTTAAATAGGTTAGCAAGTATGCCTTAAACCACTCTCAAAAGCTATACAAGTTTCCAATTATCTAACTTAAAAGATAATACATTTGTTTGATTGTTGCAAGTTGAGCCAAAAAACTATTTATTTAAATGTTATGATGAAGTTCCTCAATATTCCATAAAGTGTTCTAAATCTCTAATTATGCTAAAAGGAAATTAATAATATCATGTTTCAGCACTAAAATCAAAGATTAACAAATGTATTATGCTAAAAGGAAATTAATAATATCATGTTTCTGCACTGAAAATACATTGTGAAATACCATATGCAGTATTAAGGAATCTAGCCCATTGATGCAGTTGATATGCTTACGTTGTCAAACAACATATAATTATTTGTATAATCAATTGTGTTCCCAGTACAATATAAACGATGTCAATATATAAGAATTAATTTTAAACTAAGTTCACCTAAGTCCCTTCTTTATAAGATTAATCTTTGAGACTAATGATTTATCAACCACTCCAGTTTGCTTCATTAATCTACAATGTACTTAATTACAATCATAAGACATTACAAATTTTCCAAAATAAGTCTAGTCATGAAAATTATAACATCCCCAAAATACTTCAAATTTAAGCTGCTTAACCATAGAGACTGGAAGCAAATTGTTCCCAAAGTTTGGCGATTGGATAGTGACATGCTTTTAAGATCCAAGAATAACTGATACATATATATAAATCATATATAAACATATGAGTACAATGGCAAGATGATGTTAGAAAAAAGATTGAAGCAGGTTCTAGATGCAAATCTATTAAGATCACTAGAATAACTTGACATGGAATTGAAATTGACACCAATTCATCTTGTGGAGATATCACCAAGGTATCCTCATAATGTGGCTGGATCTTGTCCAACTCATAGCTTTCAATCAGAATATCTTGTAGAATTAGGATAACTTAAACAAGGAGCTAATGCACACCAAAAACATATTAACAACATTTAAATAAGAGGCAGTTCTTTAAAAGGGCACATAAAAGATATTCATGTGTGAACTCATACCTCAATATTAAGAGTCAATTTATTAGCTGAAAGGTCTATCTTGAACTTGTCTATATGTATATTAACACTCGTGTCTGTATTAAGTTTGACTATCATACCCGTAACAAATGCAAATGGAATCCAATTATCATAAATGTCATAGCACGCAATGGATAAAGGTGGAAAGCACGAACCAACTATGTGGAAAGTGGTCATTTTATGAGAAAAAAGGGAATATAAAAGGTTATTAAGTCTAATTAGAAATGCTAGTTAAAGGAAAAATAACAGGACGAAGAAACTCCCTAAGAAGCATTAAAATATATGCATGATAATTGGTGTGAAAGGTAAATAGACTTATTAAGTAACTACTTAAACCAAAAGTTTAAGCTTATAGGTTTAGGCCCAACGATAATATTTAAGCTGCAAAGTCTCGCCATGCGTAATGCAAGTTAAAAGATGCAAAGATGATGCTTTACTAGTCATTAATCCTATTTAGAGAGTGTATTGGCATTGAGTGGGTGATAAAGAGTATCATACTTAATTCTAGAAATGAACCAATAAAATTGCTTTTTTGTCTGTCTACAATACACCTAGGATGGGAGATTGTGCAATTCATTCTTATGCAATACAGGAAGCATCTTGTGATAACTTATTTGGGCTACTTATCATCCCTTATTTTGTACTCTAGGCTTAAGACTAGCGAAGAATAATGTTATCCAAAGTTTCTTCAAAATTTTGAATGAATGAGTTATCTCAGCCAAAAGATGGAAATGATTTCACCGTGAGTTTCATGAACAGAAAAATTGATAAGCTAATTTGTTAAAAGTTTTCTTACCTAACATAGAACTTTGGGGCTCTGTTTACAACTCAACAATCTCAAATTTCCAACCTTAGAAGATCCCTTAACTGCCACCCATCTCTCACAACTCTTACAGCTTGAGTGAGGCTAAAGCACAAAATTCCATCATATGAGGTTATATAATCATAAAACACAAGAAACGATATCATATTATACTGCAACAAACAAAAAGAGATAAGAATCTTTTGTATCACTTACAAGGTGAAATGAAAACCTATACATCCCAGCATTTTGAAAGACGATTGGTAACTTGCACCTGAATTCAAATATATATAAACCTTGATACCCTTTCGTAGAAGTAGGTAGGACACGAGCTATGTAGATGTCAATACCCTTTTGAAGATTCTTCTTTTCACCTATGAATCTGACTTCCATGATCATTTCTAAATTATTCTTAACAATGTACTTCTAGTCCAACTTCTTTGAAGCACTAGAAGAAACAGCATTGGCATGCCAAACAACACCCACAATTTCTCTAGGAGGTACTTCTCCGTCTTTAGCACTGAAAGGTAACGCTTGAAACAGAAACTAATTAGTTGTGATTAAATATCTTGATGGAAGAGAAAAGAAAGGGATTGCATTTTTGTTCCTCAAGCTAAGTGCCAAAAGAAATGGAGAATATTTTTACATATATACAAGATGTGACATTCTATATTTATGAATTTCCAGATAACTTAATCATTGTTCTCATCCTTGATAAACCAAAAGAAGAGAAGTTTGCTGAATACAAACCCCATCAACATCTAAGTTTTAACATTGTGTTGCGTTCAACAAGTCAATCAAAGCAAGAGTTTTCTGACGTTGCTTCTCTAGTTGTAGTTTCCAATCAATATTGTCAGTACATGCACACTAATGCCAATGACAAAAAAATAAATAAATACTTACTCTCAAGTAAAATTTGCAAGTATCAAGGAAATAGAAATGTATGCAGTAATAAAGAAGATTGAAATTAAACAGAAAACCTTTCCAGAATCAATTATGTCAATAAGTGATGATAAGGAGCAAAAAATAACCAAGCTGACAGTCCCATTGTTCTCCACGAGGACACATCCTTCTTTATCCAAGAGACCTATTGGCCTTTCAAACCATAAAAGATATTAGACATCACATGTTTGTGAAACAAAAAGTACAAGGATTATATTTATACACTAAAAATAGAACTTTTAGAGCCCCAAATGCACAAGATAGCATACCTGCATATTATTCGAGCATCACCTATCAGAAAAGGGAGGGTGAAATTTATCTAATTTGCAAGAAGATTAAATTATGTAAACATGTCAATAATATGTTTGTTCTATTACGAGATGATAAAAAGCAAACTAATAGTCATGTGCTATAAGTCTTAAGAGTCTTAAAACCATTGCCTATGAGCAGCATCCCCTTGAAGACCTTCAATTAAAAAATATTCTATTGTTGCATAGATATTGTTGTTATGAACTCCAGCACATGCTCCCTTGAAAACCTTAACTCTTTGACCTCTTTTCCATGTTAAACCCTTCCTCTTTAGTACTCAGTGCACCCTTGCAACTATAGTTGAATAATATATATTTGATATCTCATCAGATAGAAACAAGAAGTAAACAAACAAATCGGCAACAAAAGAATAAAAAAGAGACCCAAGGAATTGAACAAAGTACATGAAAAGCAAACTATGCAAAATGGAAAACAATGTTATGTAAGATAAATTCCTTATCAATCAAAGCCTACCATCAGATGAAATGCCCAATGACTTTTTGTTTTTGGGGCTAATGATAAAAATTGGTTGATCTACTCCAAAGTTATATTCTTCATCATAATGATCATGCATCTGCAGAAGCCAGTCTTGATATTCCTTTTCCAGTTGCAAATGAGTTAATAGTTTTCCAGCTCTATAAATTTCAACATTGATATCTGCAAATTTGGAAATTACACCATTGGGAAGATAGTGTAACAATTCAAATAAACTTATTAAAACTAGCCACATATTTACAATTTGCAAATAAGAATTACCTTTGTCTTCCTTACAAGTAATAACAACAAAATTCTTCAAAGCTATGGTAAACAAATTATGGTGTGCTAAATCAATCTGTTAAATCCTCGTCATTTGACAAAAAAATCAATACAAAAAGACTAGACAATTACTTCACCGCATCCACAAACTGAATTTAGAATTATTTTAGTTTAGTTGCAATGTCTGTAACCATCTTTGAAAGTTTTGGTGAGAGAGAATTGAACATTGTAGGCATATGCCGAGAGTAGAAACAATTAGTACTAAGAAATGTTTTTTTCCAAATTAATATTTAGAAAGAAAATTATACATTAGCTTTTAAAGATACGCTAATCTGCCCCAATATATAAAATAACTTTGGTAATGAGGCCTTAGCAACTCACAATCAAACAAAACAGTAGAAAAGACAGGTTGCAGCATGAGATGTTACAAACACATGGAAATTTCACCACATTCCTTACCTTAGAAGGTGTCGGATTAAAACCAGCATCAGTATCTACAACCAAACAGATTTTGTAAAACATGTCTTATATGAGAGGAAAACAAATCACATCCCAATGAGTGAAAGTACATGGACAGTAGTGACTTAAAAAATATTCACTTACCCTACCAATGAAGCATTTTGCTCTTGAGCAACATCTCTTCAGTAGGTGAGCCTTATCTCCCTTTTTCTGCCTCAATTTCATAAAAGAAAGCCATGCCTGGCGTAAATCAGAAACTTGAAAAATTTCCTTGGGAATTTATATTAAGTGGCAGATGATACATAAACATTGACCACATGGTGGATGTATGTCCACATAGGGTAGAATTTGAGGTGAGTCATTATGTGATTAAAACAATTGTATTTTCACTACTTAGCTCAATCAACTTCTTTTGAATTCATAGGATTTAGAACTTACCCAGTGAGCATCTGGAAGAAGACGACCAAGACGACGGATAGCAACACGACTAAAAGTTTCATAGTTTTCAGGAACTCCGCATCCTTTAGAATTTAACTTCTCTATAATCATTTCAATGCTCTCTCCCTCCTGTATTACACAATTTCAAAATTTATCTAGCACACAGAAATAAGTTGTGCTATGTATGGCACATACCTCCGTAACTGGAAAATAAGCACATTTTAAGCGTGCATTTGCTTCTTGAGATGTCCATGAACCTGACAAATACCAATTCTTAAGATATTAAAATCTACCAAAGATTGCATTTTGTTGACAATTGATATGCCATTGAAAATCATGACAAAAGAACAGCAATTGCTACCAGGACTTTTGGTTTTAGAACAACCAAGTTTAAGGGAAGAGTTAAGTTGTAAAACAAACTCAGGACCATTGCATGAATGCATGTTCATTGTTGCAACCTCCCCACCTGCAATTTCAGCTAAGTCAACACCATTAACTTGCAAAGACGAAATTCCTTTTTTGTTTTTTTATTTTAAGAACCATAAAAAGAATTCTATTAATAACATAAATAGAGACAAAGCTGCATTCCAATCTCTATGACTTCTGTAATTCCTTCCATGACTTGTAAAATTTGCTTTAAAAAATCCCAAGTAATTTGGTGCATGTGTACCAATCACTTGAAGTATTGGGGAAGAGATTCAGAAAATAAAATAACATTAACAAGTTAAACCTGGAGCTCAATCGGTGTGGTGGTCTTCCTCGTCTTAGACACTTCATCACACTGCACATCAACAAGATAATATATGAGACATAATAATTATTAATATCTAAAAACATTTGCATATTGATAATGTCTACGATCAAAATAATTTTGCATGGTCAACTGAATTGTCATGACAATGAATTAAAAAAAAAATAGCTTTTTAACACGAAAAAGAAAAAAGAAAAGAGCTGGATAGGTAAAATATGAGAAATAGCAATAGGAAAAAACTGAAAAAATAGAAACATTATTATCATTAAAATCAGATATTGAGGGGAGACAGGAATTTTACAAGTGAACAATCCAATTTATCTTTCCCAAAATAACTACTAACTATGATCCAGAAGCAGTAGATAAAAACAAAACAAAATGAATTTCATGGATGACAATTCTCTACATGAACCTCATCAATTAGATAAACTTCCAGATCTAAGGTGAGAACTTAAGGTAAAGTCTTACACCATCAGCAATAATCTTTAAAATGCTTCAGTCTAGTAAGCAAATATACATGAATTTGAATCCCCTTAAAGAAGTAAAACCGGCATACTTCTGGTGAAAAAATAATTTCAGTAAAACATTTAATGCTTTGTCAATCTTTATTACAATTTATTTATTAATTATTTGAAAAGGCTGAGACTTCCACATAAATCCTTCACTATTATGTATCCCCCTTAAAGAAGTAAAACTAACATACTTGTGGTAAAAAACAATTTTAGTAAAACATTTAATGCTTTGTCAATCTTTATTGCAATTTATTTATTGATTATTCGGAAAAGCTCAGACTTCCATATAAATCCTTCTCTATTATATATAAACTAAAGAAAAATAAAAAACTCTCAAGTCACCTTAACTCTTTTGTCTGGTCAGTTCTTTGTCTCCTTTTGAGTCATTTGGGAACTAGGATACAAGGAGAAGATTCAAACTCCTAGAAGAACATGAATGATTTCCTATGTATAAGAATAACCAATTTGTATATTTGATACGTATTCTTATATTTACTTCCGTCTTTATCATCCAAAAAGAAACTTGTTTTTGTTACTGCCATATCTTGAACTTTCTATTTCCTAAACCATGGTACTGTATTCGCCAATAACACGTCCTTCTTTTATGTTCAAACGCTTAATAAATTTTCAACATAAACACCAGATTTGACATCTTCTCTTATCTGGAAGGACAACCAAAACAGGGTTAAGGAAAACTGAATTTATGTAGGTCTTTTACTAGATGTGAGTGCTTCTGTTACCTGAAGATTTCTTTGGCTTGGATCCAACAAATATGTGATTTGTTCATTGTAAATCTGCAATAATATGTGGATATATTAGGACATGCAACATTAAATTTCACAAGAGCAAAAGGGATACTGTCTAATCACAAAATGATTTGTTCATTGTAAATCTGCAATAATATGTGGATATATTAGGACATGCAACATTAAATTTCACAAGAGCAAAATGGATACTGTCCAGTCACAAAACCTGAAGAAAAGAACAACAACATTTCTCTCTCTCTTCTAATACAGAACAAAAGAAAGAAACTCAACAATTTCTCGCTTTTCCACTCAGTAAAAAAACAAAAGCTTTAAAATTTACATTTTCTCAAGCTTGAGTCACTTCTTCCCCAAATTCTGTTAAAATACAAAAAAGATAATATCAAATAACCACTGAAAAGAAGAAGATGGAAACAATTACTTGAACACCCGACAACCATTACGTTCTCGGTAAGTGTATGAGTGGCGAGCTTGCGATTGGGCAAGCATGGGGGAAGGGGACTCTTAATCTTGGAAGATGCCAAAGAAGATGGAAGAAGTGAGTTTGTCTTTTTGCTTCTTCAATGACTTTAATTTTGAATTAGGGTTTGTCTTTTTGCTTCTTCAATGACTTTAATTTTGAATTAGGGTTTGGAGACGGCGACTCACTTGAGTGGGTCTCTCTCAAGATTGTGTTTCTTGGCTGCATGAAGTGGTTGATTCCGATCAGTAAACTCCAGAGAGAGAAGAGAGAAGAGAGAGTAGGGTTTGTTAATTTGGGCAAGATTGCTGAGATTAAAGGCTTTAGAGACAAGAAGAGGAGAGGAGAAAGAAATGTAGCCATTAGAGTAGAGAGGGGTAAACTTCGAAATTTTGTTGAATTATTCACGTTGTGGGGAATTTATACCTAGAAAAAGAATAAGAAGGTGAAAGTTTTTTTGAAAATGTGATAAGGTTTTGATTGGTCGCCTCAAAATAAGAATTACATTGCATGGAATTGGGCTGGAAAAATTGTTTTGAAAGCATGATAAGAGGGGATGTTCTTACGAGGAAATTTAACTCCCCGGAACTCCAAAGTTTGCATTTAAAAAAAATGACCTTGAAAATATTTTTCAATTTTTTTTAATTTAGAAAAACTGACATGACACACTTAAGATTCATTAAACATGTAAAACGGGTTAAAGTGAAAGAATTTAAACATATTTGGGTAATATTATAATTAACGAAAGTTTGTTTAAATTTTGAAAATTAAAAACGACCCTCACCCTTTGAAATCGCTTAATCAAACCAAATACCCAAAAAAAACCAACGAACACCTTTGATTTCTTTGCCATTTCTGGTGACGAAAGTGCCCTATTCCGGCAAATACTCGATCCTAAAGCTTCTTTACACAAAATCATGGCTACTATTCAAAAAGAGGAGGAAAACCCAACCCCACTCCAAATCCTAAACTCCAATGGCGGAGGCAGTTCAAAGGTTGTCGAAGAAGACGCTTCGGTGGATCATCCGATGAGTGAAGGTGGTCCAGAGGCAGAGGAGACGACAACGGCATAAGAACAGAGAGAATAATCAAAAAACGATTCTAAATAGGAGGACACCAGTGAAGAAAGGGTACGTTTTTTACTTGTTTTTTTGAATTGGACGAGAAATTTGATTGATTTTGGTGAATTTGGGGGAGATGTAGTTGGTTTTATTGTGATGTTTTGTCGAGCAATTGGCGGGCATTGGGGGAGTGGCTTTGTTTGGGTTCCAAAGGATGGGGAAAGGCAAGTGAGGCTATGGGGAGGTTGTCTATGGAAGGTTGGTGGGCTGGGGATGACAGGAGGTGGCGGAATAGGGGGGCTGGAAGGCTGCCCTGCATATTGGCAAGGCTGGCCACGCAATATGCAAGGCAGCCCTCCAGCCCCCCTATTCCACCATCTCCTACCATCCTTAGCCCTCCAACCTCATGGAACTTACCACAATAGCCTCTATAGGGCTTGCATTTGCTTCCCCAGTCCTCTCGAGGCCAAAAACACCCACTCACCGATGCCTTCGAATCCTATATCCCCCAAATTGGCAACCTACTGGTTGTTTTGGTTTTCTTTTCTTTTCTTTTCTTTTTTTTTTTTTTTTTTTTTTGCTAATATTTAGTGTATATCGATTGTGCAGATTTTCCAAACCATAAATTGTAAAGACTATGGGTTGGAGGTTGGTACCGTACTTCCCCGTAAGGGTGACAGTTAGGTCGAGTTGGCAAGTTTTTACGAGAATAATGGAGATTTTACGGGAACAGAAGAAGGGTTTACACCGATTCAAAGAGAGTTGTTTCTGTCATTTTGTGAACAACGGAGAAAATTGGAAAAAGGTGTTCTAAGGGCAGGGAGTGCATTATATGTTGTTGCAATCAGTTAAAAGCCAAAAAGACAAAAGAAATGTGGTTCATGGTGGGTGGAAAGTCACTACGTTTGGGATGATGGAATATGCCCTGATGACAGGCTTAAGATGTGGGGCATTTCCAAATGAGGCAGAGTAAGAGAGAATAAAGAACAGTAGGGTAGCTGATAACTTGGCTTAAAAGGTTTTGGAGGGGAAGGCGTCTATTACGGGACGCGATTTAGAGGAGAGGTTAGAAGAAGGTGGGTATACCTATTCAGAGAGGTTCAAGATGTGCCTAGTATGGTTCGTGCATTCAATCCTAATGGCTTCTGACTCAACAAAAGCCCTTAATATGGATTGGGTGAAGTTTGCAAGAAACATGGACTTCTTTAATGCTTATCCGTGGGGACGAGTATCATTTCAGCTAACCATGGACTCCCTATAAGGAAAAGACATGGTGTTAAAGCAGCGCCAATCTGTCAAGAATAATAGACCAAGCACTTACAATTTGTTTGGCTTCCCATGGGCAATGCAGGTAAATATTAATAGCTTTTTGTTATATTTTTTGTATTATATGTGTTTTAATTATGATATGGACTGTTTTTTTACAATGTAGGCTTGGATGTATGAGGTTGTCCGTATCTTGGCTAAGGCAGAGGGAGGATGAAGACTTCGGATGAGTGACCGCAATTTCCTAGGATGTTGCGGTGGCACATCGAGAAGTGTACCCATTGGGATTACAACAAAATAGACATGAAAATTCAAGCGACTTGGGTAAGATTAAAGGATTAATCTTTTGAATATGCACTTGCTTTTAAATTTGGCTTAAATTTGATTGATTTTTTTTCTTATTGCAGGAAGTTGTCCATCCCTTCTTCATCACTACTAGGGGTGAAGCGGGAGAAGAGTATATTACATCGTTCAAAGCACTGGAGGATGAAGCAGATGAAAGGATTAACCGCCTAATGTTGGGCCTAGAAGGGGTCATGCATGTGAGTGCAGTTGCAGAGCCACTGCTTGAGAATGTTGTTGACGCCAAGGATGATGAAGCTCTAATCGGCGAGAGGAGGAGGAGGAGGAGGATGAAGAGGTTCGTACACCTCTACCCAATTGGCAAACTGGTACAACAAGTTCCATTTTGTCGAAGCATCGGGGTAGGGAGAATAAGGTGGTTGACCTCATAAACGGTTTGTTTGAGAGTTTTACAATGGCTATTTATGAGAGGTTTGAGAAGATGGAAGATGGAATGAAAAAGGTGGAGGAGAAAGTTGATAGAGTGGAGAAGAAAGTTGATAGGGTGGCAAAGAAAGTTGGTAGGGTGGAGAAGAAAGTTGGTGGGATATTGAAAGTGTTGAAGTGCAACCTGAGCATAAACAAGAGAGCTGAAAGAGTAAGGATGTAATTTCTCTTTACACGGCAGTAACATATGGAAAGAAGAGGAAAACAAAGAAAAAAAATGAAGAAGTTTGTGAAAGTGGAGAAGCAAAAATGGAGGCAGAGGAAGTGGGGCAGTGAAAATGAATGAGGAAGGTGGAGGAAGTGGGTAAGTGAAAACGGAAGAGTTAAAGGTCGATTTGTATAGGCCAATAGATGAGGAATAGAAAAAACTCTTCTATGCCTATTACAATGATTCTAGAAGTGATGGTGAGTGCAAGACCAAGAGTTATCCCCGGGAGTGGTTTGAAAAGATGTTGACGACGGGTAGGTGGCTCGACGACTCGGTGAGATATTTTGTTAGAGTAGGTGCTCTAAAGCCAATCAATTATTGTAAAATTGACTCTATAATAAATGTTTATTTATCAATAAAAGGCATATTCTTCTATATCGTGTATGTAATGATATATGTCCTTAGGATGGTAGAACCGTGATGAGGGTATCAAGTGTTTCAAATCTTGATAGTAAGAACCCTATGATCACATATGGTGGTCATTCTAGAAATGTCCGTAGCCCCAGTATTATTCTAACCAAGGACACAGATAATACGGTAAGGCTATCATAGTGTTGAACGACCCTGTCGAAAGGTAGTGACTGATCTCACTTGTCAAGGTTGTTTACCGACAACCTGGTGCAACGCATGGGTGCTTGCTAGAGGCAAGTTCACTGGACAGACCCACCATAGGATTCCATATGGATGGTAACCCTAGTGTCTATGGAATAAATCCTCTAACGGATGGTAGTGCATGTGATCTTTAGACTTAAGGTCATCGGAGCGCCTTTTGCACCAATTGGTGTAGTTTGACACTAGATCAACGTAGTTCTATTCAGAGCTATCAACACAATAGTGATTGGCTACATTGAGAAGTGTATCGAGACTATGGTGGATTGACAAAGGATTCATCACTCATGGGTACGGGAGAAGTTATCACATTGGGTAATTTAGTAAATGGCAATGACACTAAATCCATGGCCACAGTGGGAATGAGTAAATGCTCAATCCAATTTAATATTCTTGTCATTGGTCCAGTAACTGAATACAAACATGTCGAGGATATTTGAGGTTGACACTATTTCTGTACCTTGGTCTCGATGAGATAACAATTGATGAAATGATTTGATTGCACGGTAACCATATCATTGATAGGCTGCGGTTTCGCTGAATCCGAATCTATCGGGTGGCCATGATGCTTTGCTAAGGGCCAATCTTGGTCTGTGTGTAGTGAGATAATTAATTAGTGTTAATCACAATACTACACACTGTTGATATGATGAGGAGCCTGCGGGTCACACACTTAGAAGATAATTTAATAATCAATTTGTGAGAAGGGTATTTTCGTCTTTCAGGATGAAATGGTATTTTGGTAATCTCACAGTGTAATTAAATTTGCTGTGGTGGTTGCTTGTATTTAATTTTAGTATTAAAATTAAATTAGTGAGATTATATTTAAATATATCTCTGTATATATTTAAATGAATTATTATTATTAATTAAATGTTAATATATTATTATATATTAATTGATTTTAATTATAATAATAATTAATTAATTAAAATACCATAAAGGGTGTGTTTGGTTGCAAGGTTGAACTAGGATTGGAGCTCATGACTATTCCTAAGTGGAATAGGGTTTTAATTGTTGCACTATATAAGTGCAACTTAAAATTAAAACAATGTGAATTATTCATTCAATCAAAACCCTAGCTGAAAGAACAACATGAAGAGGTGGCAGAAAATGTAGATTGAAAGCATGAAAGGGTTGGATTAATGGGATTAAAAAAAATTTCAAACAAAACTTGAAAAACATTATACCATCTCCTTTGCTTAAGGTTGATGAAGCCAAGATTCAAAGGGATGGATCCTTCACACTTTAACACCATCTTGAGAGAGTGAGAGAGTGGCCGAACCCTAAGAGAGAGGGATTTATTTTCTTTGAGTGAACAAAATGAATCCTTAACCTAAAATGCAACCATTTGCATTTATATATACATGGGCCATTTTGCAATTAGTTTTTTTTTTCACTTCTATCCCCAAATAAAATCTTATTTTAAAAGGAGCCCAAGTATTTATTATTTTACC